TTCTAACACCATCAGTTTCTTTTTGGTCAAAATGGTTTGGATCTTAAACATTTGCTGTGCTCTCTAGGCCACCACACTCCTTTTTTTTAAAAGCAGTAATTTTACCTGGCTATTTTCTGTATATACGTAGACTTTTAATGTTTTATCGAATATGACAATAAAGCAGAATATTTGAATCTGATCATTGTAAGTCCCATTTTATTCAGAAATAGATATTGGCGGACTACCAAGGTGAATCAACTGAAGATGTACATGTATGTTTTCATTGAAGGTACAGGATATGTGTTGTACACATGGTATTGTAGGTATTCGGAATGAAGGACTTCGTTCTTGGTATAATTAAAGGATCTTAGGTGGGACTTTACATGGGAACTTGACCACCCATGCCTCAAGTAAAGTATATGAAAATCCTTCAGAAAGTGTTTTGTGTACATTTAAATTATATTTACAGTGGTTGTGAGCAGCTCTGTATTGATGTTGAGGGCGAGTGAGGGAAAAGGGTAAGCAAGCGAGAGCCTCCTTGTCCAGGGCCTTTTGTAATGAGGCTCCAGGGAGATAAATCCTTATGAGACCTGACAGGGTGCCACATTCCTAGGCTGAGAGTCCTAGCAGCTCCCCCCCCCAAGCTCTCTAGGGCACTGCTTTATAGACATCTGATGTTGTTCCAAGACCCAGCCTTGTGCCCATTACAGTGCACTCATCTGCCTTTTCACAACAGATCCATATATTGGACTGCAGCCATCATCTGTTTTGGCTGTCACAGTATTGGTAGAATCCCTTACTGACAGCTTAATGCGCTAGTATGCTATTTTTCATCTAGAAATACTGGCATAATATATTACTGGCATGTCAATAAAAGTACATTATTGTTGTTGTGATAATGGGCTGATCACACCCTTGTTCTATCTGGATCCAAGCCATGCTATCAAGGCTCTTATCTATAATATGTTATGAGTTGTTCAATCCTTTGTACTTTCTTCTTAGAGCTCAACTATCAAGCTACCGAGTCAGACAAGAGATTTGATTAACTGTTTATGTCCGTAGACTAAAATTGTCGAGGTCAGTAGAATGAATCTGTTGTTTGAAGTCAGCGCCCTGCTCTCTTTGGCAGGCTTGAAGCCGTCTGTGTGCTAGTATTTCCACAGCCATTCCTAAAATGGAGAGGAAGGGCGGGGGGTAAGAGGATGAAATATTGGCTTGCACCGCTGAAGGCTGAGGCCCACTCCACTGTGCAAAAAGCAAAAAAAGAGGGGAAAAGGAAAGCACGCTAGATTGAGAAAGAGGGAGGTGACCGGGTTCATTCGCAGTGTTGGCAGTGAGCCATGGACTTGCCTGTGGGTGTCTGTAGCAGTGCCAGTGCATGTGTTTAGCCTCTCGCTTGGAAAGGCCCCATTCGCCTCAGAGTTTATGTCAAAGCTCTCTCATTGTGTTAGCCCTCTCATCTTGATTCAGGTTTTTTATGTTGTCTGCAGATCTTGTGACTGCATTCTGACTTGTTCTCAGGGGAGTCTCTCTGGACTGGACAGTCATCAAACAGAGGCTTCCAATGAGGATGGCTTATTTCTCCCTCTCTTTGTCTCCCTGGCCTTTTTGTCTGCCCTGTTGTGCATATATGCATGCTATGTCAATATCAGTGTTTCTGCCAGACCAGGGCTGATCTATCCCTTATAGATACTGTCTTTATTACGTTAGTGAGCCGGATCATTTGGCTCGGCTCTCTTAAAGCGCTGGCTGTTT